TGAGCCCCTGGCCCAGGCTGCCCAGAGAGGTGGTCACTGCCCCATCCCTGGCACCATCCCAGGTGAGGTTGGCCAGGGCTCTGAGCACCCTGCTCTAGCTGGGGATGTCCCTGTCCCTGCAGGGGGGTGGCACTAGGTGAGTTTTAAGGGTCCATTCCAGCCCGAAACCGTTGGGTGATGACACAAGGTGGGCTTGGTACCCACAGGCTGGGCAGAGCTGGGTGTGGAGGGGCAGCACTGGCCTGGCACTGCTGCAGCTCTCCCCAGGGGGGTTTGCCAGCACAGGGACGTGCAGCCTGTGCTGCTCCCAGCTCCCTGCACCGAGGCTCTGCCCGGGATCAATCTCCAGCACACTCCGGCTGCTCCGTGGGCTCGGTGCTGATGCTGCTGTTCCAGCAGACCCCTGCTGCTGCTCCTCCAGCCCTCACAGACCCCCGAGGCTCCTCGCTGGTGAATGAGCCACGAATCCCCATCCTGCTCCCCCAGCTCCCACCTTCCCCTCGGGTGCCAGGTCACCCCCCGTGCTGCTGCCTCTTCTCCATCAGCTCACGGCAGCTGCTGTCAAGTCGATGAGGAGAGAGCTTTGAAATCTCCTGGTTTTTTTTTTTAGAAGCTGCAAGGTGGAAAACCCAGTGCTGGTTCTCAGGGGTGCTGGAGGTGGGAGGAGGGCAGAGGGAGAGGGGTCTTCGGGAGATGTTTTCACTGGGAGCTGTGCTCCCCAGACTCAGCTCTGGGGTTTTGGGGTCCTGTGAGCACTGAGCTCCCAGTGGGATCCTGGCTCCGTGGCCCACTGGTGAGACGAATTTTCCCCAGAGCTTCATTTATTCAGGTCACGATGTTCCAGCCCCTGTTTAAGGGGTGGAGAGTTTTTGGGTAAAATGTCGTTATTTTGCCAATTTCAGCCAAATATTTTTGTCCATCATCTGACCTCAATTAGAAGCATTTCAGAGAGGAGGCTGTGGAGATCACTCAGGATTTGAAATAATGGAGAGCTGAGGTCAGGGGTGAGGGGTCCAAACGTTCCTGTGGGCTGTGGTGGGGAGGGGCAGCTGCTGGGGGGTCTCAGCCTCTTCTTCACCAGTCCCCTGAGCATCTGCCATCGTGCTGCCAAAATACCAGCAGCATCACGTGCTCCTGGGTCGGTTTGGTTCTTTCTCCTGTTGTTGTCTTCACCCCCATCGCAAATCACTTTAGATTTAATCTGTAGAGTTCAGATCTAGCTCAAATCAGATTTAAATTTGAATTTCCATTGAGCGAGAAGTTGTTTCTAACCGGCACAATTACTTGATGAGCAGATTGCTTTTATCCTATCTGCTCATCCACGCCATGAAAGGCAGAGAAGTGAATGGCAGTTTTAAAACTCCTATCCTGCCTAAGCCGCCCAGGAGGCAGTGGGAAGTTTAATTTAATTAGCTTGATACTCTGAGATGCAACTTAATCACGTTAAGTATAGATCAGCGTGCTCTCATTTAAGCTCTTCAGACTTCAGAAGACAGGGGCCAATTGTCTCCCACCCAGCTTTAATCCAGGGAGAAGCAGAATTTTCCAAGGAACCAGTGAGGGTTACGGAGAGCTTGTCCCTGTGCTCGTTGAAGCAAATTTCCCCCCAAAGGAAGGCAATAAATGAGTAATAGCCCCCATGCCCTGTATAGCAGTGTTGTTCCTGGGAAGAAAGAGCCCAAGGAAATCACTTGTGGTCCCTCTCAAATGGCCTCACGTGGATTAGTAGGTCCACAACCCCACCACCAACCCCCTGAACCTCCCTGGGATGCTTCAGCGTGTGGACACTGCTCACCCCCTGAGCCTGGGGGGACAGCAGAGACTGACAGGACTGGAGATCGTGCAAAAGCAGCACGGTTCATCAGCGGGAATCAAAATGATCTTCATGCCCCTCAGGGCTTCCCTCTGCCCGAGCTGTGTGTCTGAGTCAGGCTCAGCGGGTGCTCAGCACCCCCCCGAGCTCTGCAGGGTGCAGGAGGAGCGTGGGCTCCCTCAGCACCCCCCCGGCCACATCCTGCCAGGCAGTGCTTGGCAGAGCACCACCACCACGGCGGGGCTGCCAGGGGGCTCTGCGGGCTGGATAAGCTGCTTGGACTCATCCTGGCCCTTAATATTTTAAAGTGGGGTTGGTTTGTTTGTTGGGAAAAGTCCTAAAAGGTAACAAGCAGCAGGACAAGGGGAAACGGCCTCAGGTTGCACCAGGGGAGGTTTAGGTTGGAGCTGAGGAAAAATGTTTTTTCCCAAAAACGTTGCCCAGGGCTGTGCCAGGCTGCCCAGGGCAGTGGTGGAGTCCCCACCCCTGGAGGGGTTTCCAAGCCGTGGAGATGTGGGGTGAGGGACACGGGGCA